AGGTTTTTATTTTTGATAATTTTTAGATAATAAAAGTTATGGCAACTTTTTCTCTAAGCCATCGATGAAAAAATTTGAAATGGATGAAAACATTTTTTTCATGTTTCGCATTTTTTACTGAAACTTTCAGTTATCATAATTGATAATCCTCCTGACAATATTCAAGTTGCACCGTACAAATCGAAATAATAACGTCGCTCTATCATGTTTTATAATAAAAATTATTAACGTTAGATGGCGTAAAAAAACTCAATCCAACTATTCTTTTGAAGAGGCTGGATTGTGTTCGATGCATTTATTAATTATTTTAGATTTATCGTTTCTTCTCATAAGAGGACATCCAAACTTCATTTCTAGTTGCTTTTTCATTTTAGATTTCATTAGAATAAATTTGTTTTACGATTAGATTCGTAATATTTAAAAATGGTGCAAATGGAAAGAAAAATGGTACTGTTTACAAAAAAGATATTAGTTTTTTATAATAAACATAAAAAAATAAAAGATTAATAAAACTTATCAAGGTAAGACTATTATATGTGCAAATTTTTAAATAATTTAGAACTCATTCATGGAAGCAAATTCTATGTACAAAAAGCACATGATATGTTGACAGTCCTAGCCTTCTGAGAACGACGATACTGGATATCTCGAATTTGTAATTAATTGTAATTAACTCATGAAGTCCCAGAAAATCGCTACAGACTTTTTCTTTTAAATTCTTATAACTTATTAGAGCATAATCAAAATTTTTTAATCGTAATTGTTAGGAATATAAGAATTGCTTAGGAATAAAAAGAATTTCTCTTCTTAGAAAATCTAAGACTTCAGTTACAAGGATTTAAAATAAAGAAGGGACTTAATGTGTTAAATTAGTTATGTATAAAGAAAAATGGAATTGTAAAGATTTAATACACGAGAGTTTATATAAAAAGGGATAATTTTATATCAAAGTTTTATATACGTCTTCTAATTCCCATATATGGCGACAAAGAGGGCATATACGTACGAGATTACGTATATTTTTCGCCTTATACAAATAAACTTATATTATATAGTCAATAAACGTGTACAATTCTCTTTTATAGTTTATAATTATTTCCTTTTTCATTTTATAATATACATTTGTATATATTTATATAATTGTATTATTGTAATATATTATTGAAAATATATAAGTGTCACAGAATTTGCAAAATTAGTGAGCAATTATTAACATCTCTTCCTTGTCTAATTAACAAGTAAAAATATTAAAGCCTACAACGAAACTGGATCTTTAATGCTTAAAAGATTCAATATGAATTGTACAGGGTGTTTCCAAATTAAATGGCAAAACTTCGGGAGCGTGTAGAGGAGTAAAAAACTAAGAAAAAAAGTCCTAT